AGCCACTTATCCTCTCCAACCTCAGTTTCCCTATCAGTAAAATGGGAACGATGATAATCCTGTGAGCCCTGTGAGGAATAAACCAAATGCTACATTTAGCAGTAGACGGTAACTGCTAGCACTACTAGCAACTAATATTACACAAGGTAGGTTTTCAAATATCTTTTCTTCATCTCATATTCCCTTTTGGATTATGAGTTGCAACTGCCACCTTCTCAAACTTCAGTTCTAACAGGTTTGGGGAGATTCAGTTCTTCCTACACCCCACTCAACAAGCAAAGACGTGGGAAGCAACCCACTTCCCTGTCTCTCATGCACACTCCCACACTGCCTGGTGTGAACTGCCTGGCTGAGGGTTGCTGGGCCCTCCACACTGGGCAGAGGATTGCCTGATTTTCTGCCATACTCTAAAAACCCACACGGATCTATAAAGCTGCACCTTCTCCACCCAGCTGGCAGGCTTCCAAGGACACATGTCCCAACAGAGCCAGGAACACTTTTAGCAAACATCTCTGAGGGTCGGCTCCGGGTCATGCTGGAGCCCGCCATTGCATCATTCATTTGTCAATCCCTGAGAGTCTGCTTATGGGAAGGACTGCTGTGCACCTCCTATTGTATAAGTTCCAATCCAACTGCAACAAGTTTATTTGGGAAGTTATGACAACACCTAGGACCAGTCTATTCATCTGAATGCATAATGGAAAACAAAAGTCCACTATTCGAAGCTATAAGCCTTGCTCTCTAAAAGCTTCCACTCTAACTGGGGCAAGATGACATAAGACAGAAGAGTTGACTGAGATATCTGAAAGCAGGAACGCTGGAAGCAGCTGCTTGAGTTCAAAGCCTAGCCCCTTCGCTTGTCAGCTATGTAATCTTGAGCTGGTTACTTAATCTCTCTATGCCTCAGTGTTCTCATCTGCAAAATGGGAATGATAATGAGGTAAGTACTGCTATCACCCCCATCTCAAAGAGGAGGAAACCAAGGTTCAGAGAGAAGAATTCCTTGGCTGAGAGTCACCCAGAAGGTAAATGGAGCTCAAGCAGAATTAACTTCATAGTCCTTGCTCCCACCCTCCACCTCCTTCCCCCAGCCTCTCTAAGCCTTCTTTCTACAGGGTTCTAGAGTATCTCTTCCCCAGGGAGGTGGCATCTGAAGCCCAGTTCCATTTCCACCTCTATACCCTTCAGCGTGGACAGTGGTGGGAGGTAAGGTGGTCAAAATTCTGATGACCAAGACAGCTCCTCCTCCTCCTCAGAAGTAAGTAGAAGGGTAGGAGGCTGGGCAGAATGTCCACGCTCAGACCATAATGGTCCACACCTTCCCTTTGCTCAAGTTTGCAGGAAAATCCCCTCATTTTCCTTCCTTCTCTCTCCTTTCTTTGTTGAGGGATCCCTTTTCCCCCACTCCCTCTTCCTACAGAGTTCCAGTTCAAAGTCCCAGGAAGAACATCCAACACACGCCAGAGATGGCTGGAATCTGTGAATGGTGGAAAAATTGTTGGAACTTCTAAGATCTTTTAAGCCCTCGAGTGACATCTGCCATATTCAAGCACTTGAAAAAAAAGTCTATCTTCCCACTTAGACTCTAAGGTATTTTCATGTCTATTACATGTCTATAACAAAGCCTCACATCAGGCCTTGCCTTGTAAAAAGAATAAGTAAAAACTAAAGACTGGGACTTCCCTGGTAGCTCAGAGGGTAAAGAATCCACTGCCAATGCAGGAGACTCAGGTTCAATCCCTGGGTCAGGATGATCCCCTGGAGAAGGAAATAGCAACCTACACCAGTATTCTTGCCTGGTAAATCCCATGGACAGAGGAGGCTGGCAGGCTACAGTCCATAGGTCACAAAGAATCAGACACAACTGGGCAACTAAGCATGCGATAAAGCCCTTACAAGAGGTAACTTGCCCAAGTTCTCATAGCTAGAAAGTGACAAAACCCAAATTTGAACTCTAGCTTTTTCAAAGCTCTATCATCCATGCTACAGTGTCTCTCACTGCAGGGCTGGGGCTGGAGTGAGGCAAGCAAAGGGCCAATTCTACCTTTGCAGAACCCTGAGAAAAATCTACCTTTGGATACTTCCAAAGAATTAGAGGGGACCGTGGGGTCCCCTGCATCCTAGCCATTGACAAGGTACAAAGAAGAAACTGTGGAGCAGGCAGGATGTAAGGCAACTCACTAGGCTTACATCTGCTCACATGACACGCAATAACAGTCCCCCCAGCACATCCTCAAAAAGACCTGCACACAGTGATCCTGCCCGGGACACAACTTCTAAGAGCTAACAACTCAACACACCTACGTGCATACCAACACAACCCAAAATGCCCACATGGGCAGATGGTACAATTCCTGCACTCAAAAACAGGGGAGAGGACTTCCTTCATGGTCCAGTGGTGAAGAATCTGCCTGCCAATGCAGGGGATACAGGTTCGATTCCTAGTCTGAGAAGATCCCACATCACCTGGACCAACTATGCCCATGCACCACAACCACTGAGCCTGAGCTCTATAGCCCACAATCCGCAACTACTGAGCCCGTGTGCCCTAGAGCCTGTGCAAAGTCGTTGCAGTGAGAAGCCCGTGCATTGTAACAAAGCAGCCATAATAAATAAATACATCTTTAAAAAACACAGGGCAGGGAGGTGGAGACTCAGGAAAAATTCTAATGAAATGAATCTTTTTCACAAGCTTTTTATGAACCCACAACCACCAATCGAAGAATTGATTAACTTGGTTATATTTATTAAATCATGCTCAATATTTAATAACTTTGAATATGGATTGAATATTTAATGAGATTGGTTGAGATCTATTTACACATAAACGTCAGAAGTGCCAATTGCTTTGAATTGAGAATTTAGTTTGTGACTCACAGAGGCTAGGGCTGGAGATCGCAAAATTCTACACTTCATGGGTTTCTTTAAATTATAGGTTATCATCATGAAACTATTACACTATTACTTGTATTGATGCTCCACTATTATAAAGTATTATACAGTCCCAAGAAATTTGGCGTTCAGATGCCATATTTCCTTGCGTCCAGGCAAACACAGATAGGATCTCTTGTTCTCTTTCCTCCATGTTTACTAGGAAAAGAGTCCAAAATGATGCTGTAAAATGCATCTTGTCTTAAGCCCTTAGTCATCCCACAGGCTCAAGATGATCTGGAAGCAATTTATGTGGCATACTTTGCCCAAGACCAATTTGTCCAAGAGAAAGAGCTCTGCTTTGTACACTGGAGACTAGCAAGGTGAATTTCTGAATCGTTTTTTACTGAACTAAGAGAATTGGATGCAAAACAAGCTTTCTGAGGTATCATGGAGATTCAGGAAAATCCTTGGAGGATTTGAGATTCTGAAAATCAATGAATGAATTTAACGTATCCATATGTGCAGATTTTAAGTTCTTGTGTGTGTGCTGAATAGCTTCAGTTGTGTCTGACTCTTTGTAACCCTATGGACTGTAGCTTTCCAGGCTCCTCCGACCAGAGGGATTTCCCAGGCAAGAATACTGGAGTGGGTTGCCATTTCCTCCTCCAGGGGATTTTCCTGACCCAAGGATTGAACCCTTGTCTCTATGTCTCATGCATTGGCAGGCAGGTTCTTTACTACTAGCGCTACCTGGGAAGCCCACAGATTTTATGTAAGTTACCATTATATTATTGATGCTCTCTAGATAAAAAGTCATTATAAAGTGTGGTTTATTAGGGGCCAAAGTTAAATCAAAGGAAATAGCCCCTGTGTCACAGCAGTCTGCAGCCAGCAGGACAGAAACTCCTTAATAACTCATCTCACCCACACACCCTTGTCACTTTCTGATTTGCTTTGATTTGGGGTCCAAAGCAAATGTAAACAAATGCTGCCAAAAGAATAGTAGCAACAATAAAACCATTTGATAGAGAGTAAACCTCTGACTCAAGTCAATGTTGCCATATTTCTTCAATGCTACAGTATTTTAATTTTCTTTGCAATAGATAATAAAAAATAAACTATATCTCTAAACACTTCCCCTTCTCCCCATCTTCAATAATCTACCAACCCTTACATCTTACCAGATACCCATACCAGTTTACCTGCATGTCCTGAATTCAGCACAGTGTTCTGGGCCCCCTGATTTTAATTTTTCTATGCTCAGAACCTGAATGCCTTTCCCAACTTCTCTCAAGCTTGGCAAATTCCAGTCTCATTCTTCAAAAGTCTGCTCATTGGCACGGCCTTCCTTGGCCCCCTCACCCTCCCAGTTCACCTACTTCAGCTGGCACTTTTCTCACTGTCGTCTGACAGTGGTGAGTTGGATAGTGAATTCGATGAAGTCATTTCAGTATCCCCAGTGTCATGCACAGTGCCTTGCCATGTTGGAAGGATGAATGGATGGGTGGATAGATGGTTGAACTTAGAAACAAAGGCACATAGGGTTTACTTGTGACATTGTTTATCCTTCGGCTTGAGTTGAGCAGAGTGTTGGTATAGGAACCATCTGACTTTCCAGGAAGTTCATAATGCCATTCAGTCTTAGGCTGAAGTCAGAGCTCAAAGGAATTAACCACTCCTTTACTTTACAGACAAAGTCCTTACCCTCTTATTTTCATTCAACACACATTTATGAAGTTCTCACTATGTACCAGGTTCTCCACTCACAGCCTTGGGTCACAATCCAATTACTGAATCAACCCCAAGGGGGTTTCTAGGAGTGCACAGTGTCCAGGAGCGGCCTCTTTTCTCCAACACTATTGACAGTCTTTGTGCAGCAATCAAGAGACTTTGGAGGAAATAGAAGAATCTCCTCCTCAGGAAGGGGTTTGGGATTCCTGCCCAGTGATAGTTGGATTTGGCACATCCTTAGCTTTTTATAAGTGCCTCAAATTCTTTGTGGAAGTAGGTAAGGTATCGATTCAATTCTTCCACAGAAAACAAACTGCTGTCTCCGCTTCAGTTTCCTCTCCCATCACTCCCTGCTTTCCATTGGGTCCTCCGGCAACACTGACAGGCCTGTGGGCTCAGAGTCCAGTAGAACACAAGGTCTGCCAGGAAAAGGACTTCGTTTTGTCTGCTACCGTATATCCAGCACCTAGAACAATATCTGAAACACAGTAAGCCGTTCATTCTGTCAACATGAATGGGATGAGATGAATTCATGAACAAGATGTCATACCTTTATCTCTGTTAGTGATGTCTCCTCTGGAATGTCCTTTCATCTTTCTTTAGCCTAACCCTTGCTCATCCAGCAAGGCAATTCAGGTATGGCCTCCCCTAGGAAGTTTTCCTTGAAGCACCTGAGCTGGATAGAACACCCTTCCTCTGGGTTACCTGGCACCATCTATATAGGCCTTTCATGTCACCAACCTCAGCACACTGCACTTATCTGTTGTGTGTCTGCTTTTCTACACTAGACTTTGAGATCGTGAAGACAGGAGCCATATGCTATTCATCTTCATACCCTCAGCTCCTTGGCAAAGTGTCCAGAACGTAGAAAGCACTCTATAAAGATTTATCAGGTTGAACTAAACAACTTCAAGTGAATGCAGACTGGGTCATACCAAATGTGATTGCTGATTCATTTGGTCACTTGGCAAATATTGATTGAGGCCTATGATGTGCCAAGCACTATCTGGTATTGGAGAGCCAGCACTGAGTCAAACAAACAAAAATAATGATGATGATAGTGCTCATCAATTAGACACGACCCAGATATTTCACCAGGCTAGTTAAGGGGTGTGTAGAGTCAATACGAAGCCCGTGTTACACTTCAGCTTTAACCATATTGTTTAAGTTAAGGCAGGAAATCCAGGTCCTAATAACTCCATGGTCTCTCCTCCCTGGGCTTCAGGGTTCCCACCCACATACTGAACACATTATGTATTCTCTCATGAGACATTTTGATAAATGTTTATATGGGGTCCTCTGAAATTCCTTGCACATTTTAAAATCTCCACAATTTGCATAGAAATGCTTTGCAAATAACATTAAGTATTTCAAGGCTTAGAAAACACTTCACAACTGTGCAAAATGCATTTGTACTTAAAATCCCATGGTAAAGAAAAAATTAAAGTCCAATCAACTTTCAATTCAGTTGAAATTCAATTTGCCTTTATATGCCATTCATGGCTTTCTTTGATCAAACCCACTACCTATGTTACATTTAACAAACTTTTATTGAGTCCTTCTATTGTGTCAGGCACTATAGAAGGCATTAAAGAAAACCAAGATTAATAAGACATGATCTTGACCTTTAGAGAGCTCTCAGTGTAGTGGGAAAGATTGAAACATACCTTACCTCTATAACATGTGAGATGGAGAGGTTCTGCACTCCGGGTACACACAGGGTGCTTCAGGAAGACAGAAGACAAACATCTGCTTCTTGTCTGGAGAGGTCCTGGGAAGGCATGATGGAAGCGGTGATGCCTAAGCCAAGCTGAAGTCCACGAGTAGAGTTTGACAAACAGCGAGGAAAATGGAACAGACAGGCTGGAGAGAGAAGTGACGAGAGCACGGCTACCGGAGACATAGGGTGCGGCCATGAAGGATGCTTGCCATAGACAGCTGGAGCAAATGTAACTGCAGAGGAAAGGAGAGGAAAAGGTGGGGGAGATGAGCTGGGCTCTGATGCTGAACAATAACAAGTTAGAAGTTTATTCTGGAAATAATGGAGATGACTATTATTAAAGCTTAAATGTTTTAAACTTATATGACACCTTTATGTATATATTATACATGTTATAGATGCATATATTACATATACACACGTATGTATAGCTGAATCACTTCTAGAAATATTTATTCATGAATGTGGCTGTGTCGGGTCTTAGTCGGAGCATGTGGACTCTTCACTGCAGCACACGGGCTGCTTCTCTAGCCCCGGTGCCCTGGCTCTCCCAGCTGGGGCACACGGGCTTTGTTTCCCCACAGCATGTGGGGTCTTAGTTCCCCAACCAGGGAATCAAACCCGCATCCCCTGTATATTGGAAGGCAGGTTCTTAACCACCGGGGAAGTCCCTAAAACTGAATCACTTTGCTGTACACCTAAAATTAACACAATGTTGTAAATCAACTATACATCAATTTTTAAATTATTATACCATTTTGTTTAAAAAATGGATATAACATTCTGTCACAAAAAAATAAGGAAAGCCCAATACAATCTGCCTTTTATGGAAAATTTACTGTGTGTCAAGAGGTGCTATGCTAAGCAGGTGAAAACCATTGTCACATTTTCTCTTCACAACAACTCTGAGATTTAGGTATCATGATGCCCATTTGATAGGTGTGGCAATAAAGACTCTGAGTGGTTAAGACATCAGTTAATCCATAACAGACCTGGAACTTCAATGCAAATGGATCTGACTTCAAACTCCATGATTTTAATCTATAAGCTGTGGCTTCAACTTGTGCAAATAATTAAAAAATTCAGGAATGAGGAGTTTACATAAAATCCTCTTTTTAGCCTTAGTATATATCAAAAACCATAAAATGTTCACACTCCTTAATCCAGCAATGAGATTTCTCAGAACAAATCTTAAAGAAATCAGAAATTCAGCCACATATGTATGCACAAAGATGATTATTGCAATGTTATTTATAATAGAGAAAAGCTGGAAGCAAACTAAGTGACCAGCATTAGGGAAAGTGTTTTTTAATAAAATGGAGTATTATATAACCAGATGGCATAGGATAGAAAATTGTGTGTATATAATCTGAACTGTGTAAAGAAAAAATGCACAGAAAAAAAAAAATACAGACACACAAACACAGTGGAAAACACATGTCAAATGTAATCAAAGACTTCCCTGGCTGTACAGTGGATATGAGTACACCTACCAATGCAGGGGACACGTGTGCAGTGAGAAGTGTGTGCACTGCAGCAAAGAGTATCCCCCAATCACCACAACTAGAGAACGCCCAAGCAACAAAGAGCCAGCACAGCCCCCAAAATGTAACTAAGCAGTGGCCTCTATAAGGAAGTTAAGAACTTTTTCCCCCTACATTCCAGATTTTCTATTAATACATTTGAGCACCTCATCCTTGAAATCAAGAAAAAATTAAATTAAAAAAAACCCATCCTGTATCTTGATTGGAGTCACGTCAGCTGGGTCAGCCTGAGCAGCAGGTAAAATGAGAGCATTCATAGCCAAGTCCCCTCCCCGCCACTTGATGCCAGGACATGTAGATGTCAAAACATTGATTGAGTTGATATCTTGACTGTGACATGCAAGGGTTTGAATTCAAATCATTCCAGTCACTCCCAGATTCAAAGAGGACCTCCCCAGTGGTCCAGTGGTTAAGAATCCACCTGCCAATGCAGGGAACACAGGTTCAATCCCTGGTCCGGGAAGATCCCACATGCCAATGGGCAGCTAAGCCGGTTAGCTAACCTAACCATAGCTGCTGAGCCAAAGAGCCCGTGGTCAGCAACAAGAGAAGCCTGCAAGTCGGGAAGGCCCTGCGTGCAGCAGCGACCACCCACAGCCACCAAACAAATAACAACCCAAAAAAAGATTCAAAGAAAGCAGAATCATTCATCTTAAAATCAGAATATAAATTGTGATGTTCTTACAGCTTGTTGAAAACTTCTGTTAAATGTTATCATGTTTTGCTCTTTTGACTGACTGTGTTAATTCTTCAGGGGAGGGTCGGGGGGAAGAAGGAAAAAACAATCCAGAATGGGGCCCAACCCTGGGAAATAAACTGTTTAAACGATGAAACTTACTATAAGATTGGTGGGCCCTCTCAGAGGAATTAGAATTAAAGCTGATAACCCAATTTGGAATAATTTAAAGCTCTTTTTAGGGAAGTTTCTGACTCAATTGGGCTCATTATGCATGGATTTAATGTGTAACAATTTGTTCTTGAAAGCTAACATTATTGTTGGCAATAAAGATAGGAAGTGGAAATAAGTTTCCAATATGGAAAGCAGATTTATTTCTCGTTTCATATGGACTTGTTCCGGGTCTCTGCTTATGAATCACACCATGCTCCCCACAGTAAGATGCTGTCCATGCAAGTTGGTTATGATAAATGGCCTGTAATTGTGAATCTGATATTGCTTTTCAATATTGAATTTATCATTCTGTCCTCTTAACAGATATTAAATACTTTTAAGAATTTATCCATTTGCCTGATCCATCTGTGATTTCTCAATATGTAAAATTTATTAGTTTCCTAGTTTTTTTGAGATTTTAACGGCCGACAACATCATTAATAACGCTGAGTAATGGAACTGACCTCTTTTAAACCTCATTCCCTTCCACTAATCCAGAACATCCAAATTGAATCAAAATGTATTCGATGTAGAGACCGGAAAGGAGGATGGCCCTGGTAGGTGCCTGATTTGAAATGCGGCTCCAGCGGGCTGGTCATCCTTTCACCTACCTCCAAGCTCCCCAGAGGGAGCCAAGCCCAGGCTGCCTGCACTTTCACTTTCTCCTCCTTCTCCTCCCACTGGATGCTCCAACTCAGGCAGCCCTCTTCTCCTCAGGTGCCTCAGTTTCTTCAGCGCGGGATGATTGATGACGATAATAATGCAGCTTGTCTGGCTCCCTCGTGGAGAGCGCTTTGTGAATTAATGGAAGCGTGCAGGCTGTGTACTTGAGGACGGCTCCGTGGCTGCCCTGGAACTCCCATCAAGCTTGGCTGCCCTTCACTGTGGGGATGGTGTGAAGGACGGCTGGAAGAAATTGGGCTGGGGGAAAGAGAAACCAGGCTGTGGGGAATACCAACAATAATGTGGGACTTACCCTGCCCCCTGGCTCTGTGCGTTGAAGGCCACCCCTGCCCGTTGCCTCTAGAACAGCATGAAGCGAGCGCTGGGGCGGAATCAGGGCTGGGCCTTTGCTGGGTTTCGCAGCCTGCAAGACTGCACGTCAAGGTTCCTGTAGTGTCTGCTGCGTTAAGCGGACACGTAGAGTCACAAAGGCCAACAGAACAGAGCTCCCATGTTCGGGGAACATCCTGGCCACCAGTCTAGGGGGCCCCTCAGTCAGGGTCCAGGAAGCGGAGGGGGCCAGGGCTATGTACCCACACAGAAGGACAATGAGCCTCATGATGGGCTGGGGGACAGACAGTCCATCAGTCCAGCTGCGTTTCCCGTCGCACTTAAGGGAGGCGGAAGGTCACCTTCTCAGTGTGACTCCAGATGAACAGCCCCACTGCTGCCTCCAACCTGTTCCATCCCCAGAGGCCTAATTTCATATTCTTGAGGTGGCCCGATTGACTTTCGGTTCATTGCAAACCGGCTGCTTTGGAAGTTTTGTCTATTCAAGGATCATGGGCCAAGATCAAAGCTATCAGAAGAATCAGGGAGCTGTCACCAGGGTCACCGAGAGGCGACAAGTTTCCGAAGGGCCCCTGAGTCAGGAGAAAACACATTTTTTACTGTAAGCCAGAGGCCACCTGTTTCCAGACCTGGCCCCTGTGTCCATATCAAATATTCAATGAAATGTCCCAGTTGAAACCAGATTCCAAGGCTCCAAACACCCTTTTCTATTGTTTTTCTGCCCTACCAGGACGTGATTTACAAACTGTTATAAAAGAAGATATGTCTTCATCCCAGGCATTTCACAACCTTCTGTAGATTCAGTTTTTACTGCCTGGGTCTTTTGCTATGCTTTTCATATCAGTGACTTAACTGCCCCTCAAACCCACCTTCCCTCAACAGCAAAAGGTAATTTCAACCTGACAAATGTTTACTGAGTACCTATGAGTGCCTAGATGCTTAGCACTGGGCAAACTACTGTGGAGATGCAAGAAATATATATAAAATACAGCCTCTACCCTCAGGTAGAACTAGGAATGGCACTGTACTTAATAATCAATTATTAAACATTTACTGCATGCCTGGCACTGTGCTGGATTCTGCAAAGACACAGGAAAAAGAAGCATGCTTAGTCCTTCCCAAGGAGCTTACCTTATTAGCTCTTAGTCACTTCAGTCATATCTGACTCTCTACAACCTCATGGACCATGGCTGGCCAGGCTCCTCTGTCCATGGGATTCTCCAGGCAAGAATACTGGAGAGGGTTGCCATTTCCTTCTCCATACCTTATGAGAAAGAGATCTTAATATATACGCCATGACTTTTTATAATGAAATGTTAGGTTGCATGTTTGAGACAGTAAGTACATAAGAGTTGGGCAGGATCCATGTAGGCAAAATAATCAGAATAAACCTTATGAAGGAGGAGGCAGTGAAACAGGGCATGAGAAAAGAATGGGATGTGGACAGGCAGAGAGGTAGAGATAGATATTGTGTGTGTGTTTGTGAATTGCTGTCTTTATTATTCAGGCCTTCAAATATCTGCCCACCCTTCTACTTCCCTATACCTATCAGACAAAGGAGAGGGGCTACAAATATTTAGGGAACCCTAACCTTGTGCCAAGAGGCATTCTTCACTTAGCATTCATGACCGTATGCATCTTTCCCAACTACCCTCCCAAGAAGGCATCATGATCCCCATTTATGGAAAAGGACCCCAGAACTCAAGGAGAAAATCATTTCCCAAAGACTACATCACCAGTGCTGCCCAG